AAAAAGAAAATGTCATCACTACTCATACTACAGAAATAAAAATGATCAGTACTGGGAACAATTATAGGACAATGAATTAGAATAATCTACACGAAATGGACAAATTCCTAGAAAAACAAAACATACCAGAACTAAATCACGAAGAAATAGAAAATCTGAACAGACCCCTAACTATTAAGGAGGTTAAGTAATCCAAAACCTCCAGAGATAGCAAAACCTTGGACATGGTAACATCACCAGTAAATTCTATGAAACACTTAAAAGACTAAAACCAGTCCTCCTCAAACTCTTCCAAAAATTTGAGGAAAAAGGAACACTTTCTAACTCAGTAAGGCCAGCATTACCCTGATACCAAAAACAAAGACACTATAAGAAGACTATAGGCCAGTATCCCTTAATGAACATCAATGCAAAAATCTTGAACAAAATACTAGCCAATGGAATTCAGCAGCACATTTAAAAGTATTGTGTACCAATACCAAGTGGGATTTAGCCCATGATTACAGGAAGAGTGGTTCAACATATGAAAATCAATCAATGTAATACACCACTTTAAGGACAAAAACCACACAATCATCTCAGTTGCACAAAAAGCATTTGACGAATGTCAGTACCCTTCTGTGGTAAAAACACCGTACAAATTACGTGTAGAAGAAGAGTACCTCAACATAAGAACCATACACGAAAAGTCCACAGCTAACATCCTACTCAGTGGTCAAAGACTGAAAGCTTTTTCTCCAAGCTCAGGAAGAAGACAAAGATGCTTGGCTTTGTAGCTTCTATTTAACATGGCAATGGAAGTTCTAGCCAGAGCAAGTAAGCAAAAAAAGAAAAGACATTGAAATTGGACAGGAAGAAGTAAAATTATCTGTTTGCAGATGATATGACTTATATATATTATAGAAAACGTCGGGTCAGCCACAGTGGCTTATGCCTGTAATCTTAGCACTTTGGGAGGTGGCTCACGCCTGTAATTTTGTCCATTTCATGTAATCCTAGCACCAACGCCGGTGGATTGCCTAAGCTCAGGGGGTTGAGACCAGCCAGGGCAACATAGTGTAACCCCATCTCTACTAAAGTACCAAAAAAAAAAAATTTAGCCAGGCACGGCAGTGTGTGTTTGTAGTCCCAGCTACTCAGGAGGCTGAGGCAGGTTAATTGCTTAAACCTGGGAGGTGGAGGTCGCAGTGAGCCAAGATCGCACCACTGCACTGTAGCCTGGGTGACAGAATGAGACTCCATCTCCAAAAAGAAAAAAATGAAAACCCTGGAGATTACACACACACCCCTCAGCCCCTGCTAGAATTAATAAATGAGTTCAGCAAAGTAGCCGGGTACAAAATCAACAGGCAAAAATCACTTGTATATATGCCCTCACAATGAAAATCATATTGATAAAAAAAACTAAGAATACAATTTCATTTATAGTAGCAAATACTGGGTAATTAACCAAGGAGATGAAAGAATTGTATAAACATTTTTGTGAGAAATTAAAGAAGATATAATTAAATGTAATGATATCACATTTGTGGATTGGGTGACTTAATATTGTTAACATGTCAGTATTGCCCAAAGAGATAATAGAGATTCAGTGCAAGCCTGTGAAAATTCCAACATTTCTTGCAAAAATAGAAAAATTATTCTGAAATTCATTTGGAATCTCAAGGGATGCCAAATGACCAAAACAATCTTGAAAAAGAATCAAAAGGTTGAAGGACTCACTTCGTGGTTTCAAAACTTGATACAGGCTGGGCATGGTAGCTCAACACATGTAATCCCAGTACTTTAGGAGGCTGAGGCAGGAGGATTGCTTGAGCCCAGGAGTTTAAGAGCGCCCTGGACAACATGGCAAAACCCCATTTCTACTAAAAAATACAAAAATTAACTGGGTGTGGTGATGTGCACCCATAGCCCCAGCTACTCAGGAAGCTGAGGTGGGAGGATTTCTTGAACCTGGGAGCTCAAGGC